AGTAGTAGTAATATAGTCTAATATAATTTGGTAATTGATTGGCTTTAATATTAGTAAATAAAAGTAGTTTAAATTCCAAACATTTTCAGTTTTCAGTCTAATGGATGAAAGATCTATTAGAGACCAAAAATGTTCAGAATTTAACTTTTGGTATTTTGATTTTTTTTTACCAGTATACTGGTAGTAAGTGATTGGTTTTTGCATAAGTACTTGTAATATTCAAAATTAATTTGGAAATATACAATGTAGGATTATTCAAAGGATGTCATAAATAAAAGACTATCTATATACCCCTAGAAGTTATGGATATATATGCTGCAATGAACATTAACTATTAGCTTCCATTGACATTTCTGTTCATTAAAAACTAAAATATTGTATATGCAAAATAATCATTCCAATAAGGTTGCATGCCATATAATACTGTAGTTATCATCATCGCCTTAAAAACTGTTTTTTGTAAAAATGTAAAAAATAAACTTAATTTTGACTTATTCCATAACATTTTGTATTTGAAAAGCATTCAGTGATGTTAAGGGGTTTTGAAAAGATCATAAAATGACTGATTACTATAAAATTTTTCTAAACTTCAGTAAAATATATATTTGATTGATCATTACAAGTAGTACTTAGCTTCATTTAAATCAGATAAATGTTTCTATATGAAACTAAATTCACTGCATAAAATGTCCAATTTTTGTAGCTAATTTCACTTCTTAAAAATGTTTTTCAGTCGATAAAAAAGCATATGCTTTTAATTTGCATTTTTGATGAATTCATCATGAACAAGAGTTGTTTTAAAACATAAATAAGAATCATCAAAATCAGAAAGGAACACTTGATGTTCATTGATAGTTCTCTGACAAGCATGTCGGGATTGGAACAAATTACCAAAATTATGGTAATGTGTGTTAGAAGTTTGTTAATCCAGCATCTTCTAAAAAGTACCCAATAATCTGGAACTATTAATAACTAATCAGTCATGTCAAACATGTATTCTGTGGAATTGTAATTTGGATGGATACTTGGTGCACTAAAGACATCAAACTGAAATTGAGGTAAAAATGGGGTGCAACTGGGCACTTTGCTACTTAACAAGGGATCAATCATGCAATGTGATTGGAAAAATGATTGAACATGCTGACTTTGCACATCATCATCAACATTTTTTCACATTTTTCAATCTTAAAACCAATACTGTCATGCACTATATTATCTTCAAACTGACTAAAAAGCAAGCATAAAAATTTAAAAGCATACAGCAGCATGTGCTGGTACAAAATTTACAGCAATGTCTGCAATATTTAGATCTCAAAACTTATCAAATTTTGAAAAAATACAAATGCATCTGGTTCTACAGGTTCCAGATTAACAACCTTCTACTGTATTATTGATTTTTCACTTTACCTATTTTTATGATATTATGGGATCTCTAGGAGAAAAACTGTATTCTTAGGTAGCTTGATTTTTCTTTCTGTATACAGTAAAACTATTTCAAAATTTTAAGGTACATTTGTGAATATCATATCTAAAAACATTTATTCTCTCTCCTTATCTGTTCTTTGAATACAAAGATATGATTTCACTTAAAAACTTTTTATTAAAAATCTTTGTGAAAATAAGTTTTTTCTTATTCTATGCAATAAAGTTATTATCTGCATATCTCCTGTAAAACTTTATATCAATGATAAAATACTTCAGGACTTCTGTTTCAACAGAATTCAATACAGCAGAATTCAATACAGCAGAATTAATTACTAAACTTTGTAGTAAGTTCTGCAATTAATTCTTGTAATGGTAATTAACTGGAATTCTATATTTCTGATCATAAATCACTTTCCTTGATCTACATTTTTCTTTGAAATCTCAAGAACTTGATTAATCTTCAGGATATCAATGATATACAAATACTGACTTTTTACTTCATAGATATAATTACTGAAGACAAACAAATAGAATATTTATTGGCAAGAAAACTAGGAGTTCTGGAATTTTAATATCAGGTTTTTGTGAAAATGTCCAATAGATACTCTCTTATTAACAACATTTAAATTTTAAAAACTTCACTTTATCTAACACCGAAATATAATCAATTACTTACCTCGGAGCCTGTTACTGGTGTGCAAATAACCTCAAAAAACAAAAAATTTAAATTTCACGAACATTTTCGAACCTTCAACAGTTCTTCCTCAGGCAGCAACGAATTTCCATTAGAATGCCATTAAATACGAATATTATTCAAAATTCAAATAAGTGTTAGCCAATGAACTTTACTAGCATGCGCACTGTATATGTAGTAAATGACAAGAATTTATAGATCTTTGTCCACTAGCACTTGCCATGCTAAGGGCAGATTTAATTCCTCTTTGTGGTTGATGCGCTCCAAGTCCACTCCTACGACAAAGACAAGAGGAAGGAAGCATCCCGATCACTTATAACTTGTATCTCCACTCTTTGCACAGATAGCTAAAAAGTGCTGCATACACATCGCATATAGAAGATAGCCAACTATTTTTGACATCCTTCACAATGGAAAGGATGTTCTTAACCATGATAGACTCCCAGGTGTCTACAACATTCCTATAAAAGATCACAGATGCGATAGAGCACTCAATTACATCGGCTCTATGAAGCACTCCTTGAGCATTAGAGTAAAAGAGCACATTGCAGACATACAACACACCAGGACACCACAGCTCTGGGTCCTGGGGATCACCTGGTAGACCTGGTCGACTCTATCTCAAGATCACTGGCGTGATCCTGAGATAGAATCGAATTTTAACCAGGAAAGAATCTTCCACAGCACACCATACACTGAACATCTAAAGTGGTTGGAAGCCTTATATACAGGTATACCTCGCCTTACATCGTTAATTGGTTCCAGGAGAACGACGTAAGTCGAATTTACTTGTCTCCGAATCTACTTGTCACTAGGCTAAACCATAAATTACCATTTCCGGTTTTGTATTTTATTTATTAATGCATTTTTAATAATATATAGTTAATAAAAATCTATTTTAAGCTTACAAACAAATAAATTTTAGTTTTTAATATAGTACAAAAAAAAGTAATCTAAATTTACGGATGCATGTACTGTAAATACAGTACATACTTGTATATATTTTAATATGATTTTATGTGCTTTAAACGTTTTTCTAGTGATATTACGACTTCAATATTTGTGGCGGACAGACGTAAAGTCGAATAAAATGACTTAAACTTGATTTTTATTTTTCCATATACTTTTTTTAACAAGTGACGTATAATCGGGAACGATGTAACTCGAAACGACGTAAGTCGAGGTATGCCTGTATATACAAACTCAGCAACACTTGCATCAACCACAAAAAGGAATTAAATCTCTCCTTAGCATGGCAAGCACTAGTGGACAAAGATCTATAAATTCTCATCATTTACTACATATACATTGTGCATGCCTAGTAAAGTTCATTGGCTAACATGTATTCAAATTTTGAATAATATTCGTATTTAATGGCATTTTAATGGAAATTCGTTGCTGCCTGAAGAAGAACCGTTGAAGGTTTGAAAATGTCCATAAATTTTAATTTTTCGTTTTTTGAGGTAATTTGCACACCGATAACAGGCTCCAAGGTATGTAATTAAATTTTAAAAAATTTAACAAGTTTGAATATTTTAGAATAATTTTCATAATAGTGTTTTGTCTAACTCTTAAAAATGAATATAAGGCAAAAACTCTTTGTAGAAATATATATTAGCTCTATTAAAGCGGTAAATAGTTTTATGTATATAATTCTTATATAATAAATTTTTATTTTTAGAATAGAATTGATCCCCTACTTACAAACAAGTTAAGTTTCTGAGGTGTTGTTGTAAGTGTAAAACTAACCCAGAAAGTACATTTGTACACAGAATAACCATGTACTGTTAATGTTTGATCCTTCAATATACTCTGTTAAGTACATTGAAGAATATATACTTCACTCTCATTTACCTGTTCACTACTGCTTAGAAGCAGGCGTTTCAAATGTGTTTTTTTTTTCCACTTAATGCACTTAGTTTTATAATGTCAAGTTTAGTTTTCATGGTAATAGAGCGACACTTCTTGCATTTATCTCCACTGTTAGATTTACTGTTATGTCTTGGATGCATTTTTGAAGCACTAATCATAAAAGTTTATAAAAATTGCAAACAATAGCAGAAAATGCCATTATTCCAATGCCACCAACTTTGACACCATCTCACCAGTAATGATGAAACATCAGAATTCACACAAAAACAAAAAAATGACAATAAGCAATAGAAATAAATTTTTAGTAAATAATGTGGATTTATTTATTACTGGCTAAAGACTGACTGTGACACCACCCCATTGACCAGCAAGAGAATTTCAGAATCCACACATAATTTAAATTTTAGATTTATGGTCAAATTGTTCATAAGTCTGAAAAGTTCATAAGCAAGGGAGTTTGTGTAATCTAAAATAACTACAGTAAATTTTTTTTCTTATTGTAAATTATAAGTTATATCTAGTGATATAGATAATGCTCAAAAAAATCCAAAATATTAATTAGAATCAGAGTTTTTATTTATTCTTTTTAAGTATACTTTTGAAATTTTTACTTTGTTTTTACAACAAAATGATTTTTTTAGAGAAAATTTTTATAATGAGTAAATAAATGTGTGTTTTATTTCAATTAACAAATAATGTCATCTTTCAGACTCTCATCAATTTATTAACAATAATGTAATTCAAGTTAAATTGCCATTAAAATTATTAATTGACATTTGCAGTAAATTAATACTTTAAAATGTAGCTTAAATGATTAATTCTTTAATCTTTAATAGATTTTACATGTAATCCACACACAATATTCTTTTGATAAAGTCTTAATTAAAAATTTAAACACAGCATAAGTAAACAAATTGTATTCTGTAATACTTATTTTAAATATTAATTAAAACTAGAAAAATAATTTATTATGGTTTAATTATATACAATATTAAATATTTAGAATGATTTCAATTCAATTATTCTTTCACAGTATTATCTGTAGAAACATCTAAATACTAAAATTTAACAACATTGAAAAAATGATGTTCAATAGAATATGCTGAAAAAAAAAAATCAGTTTGTAAAGTTTCCAGTATAAAAAAAATGTGACACTAAATGAAGTTCACTCCAATACAACACAGCTTTTAGTATTAAATTTTGAAGAAAAATTTCCAAGAACTTTACCAAGGTACTTGGAAAAGATTTTTAAATAAGAAATCCTATAGTTTTTAGAAAAAGAAATCAAAGAATGAATCAGGGCTGGAAAAATGGCTTTTTATAAGAAGAACCTTCTTATTGGAAAAATGAACCAAACACTTAAAAAGAAGTTAATAAAATGCTTTTCCTGGAGCATAACTTTATATGGAGCAGAGACTTGGACCTTAAGGAAAAAGGAAACAAACTACCTTGAAGCATATGAAATGTGGTTATGGCGAAGAATGGAGAAAATCAAGTGGACAGAAAAGGTTAAGAATGAAGATGTTTTAAATTTGGTCCAGGAACAGCGATCTCTTTTAAAAACAATACAAAGAAGAAAAAATAACTGGCTAGGTCATATATTGCGAGGAGAAGGATTAATGCGAGTGGCATTAGAAGGAAAAATTGATGCAAGGAAACAAAGAGGAAGAAAAAAGAAAAGTATTGATAGATGATGTTTTACTAGGCAAAACTTATAAAGAAATAAAAGAGGAAGCCCGAAATAGAGAATGTTGGAGAAGGAGAATTCTATAATTTGACTGCTTTCCATGGACCTGTCCTAGGACAGAACACCCATGAATGAATGAATGAATGAATGAACGAATAGTTTTTAGATGGTTTGAAGCAATACAACATTATAGAGAAGTTAAACAAGAGCAATATGTATTTTATCCTTGTTCTTGATGATGATAATAAAAACAACAACAGTAATAGAGAATTTTATATTAAAAAGATGCAGCTAGAACAATATTAGGAATGTATGTTTTTAACAAGTGTATTTAATTGATAAGAGAAGAAATTGAATTTAGAAAAGTTAAAATTGGAAGATAATTCTTTCATACATGGAAGAAGAAATCTGAATTATCAAGATCTGAAAAATAGAGATGATAAATAAGAAAGAAAGGAAGGAGAAAAATATCATTGTATACTCAATAGAAATGGGTTAGGAAGTAAAAACTTCTAGAAAAATGTACATAAACTAATTTCTTGTAGATAATATTTAGGAATAGATTTAGTTATTTAGTTTGTTTTTATCATTGTCACCTTTTAACTTGTTGAATTTTATTTTTAAATGATAATGATTTGCAGATAAGTTAACCATAGATTTCCAGATAATTTAAAATTATACAAATGTTGGATTTTTTGAATCTAAGAATATTCTAAATGTAATGTCTTTGAATTCATAACATCATGGGGAATAGGGATACAGCACAAGATGCTGGGATGGAGACTAGGTGCCTATGTTGTTTACTATATCCTATGTTAATTTCAATTTATTGTTAATAATGAAGTATCTAATAAAGAATTAAGTATCATTAAGTGCTTGTAATTCATTGTCCACCTAATCATAACAAAAATTTTAGTGCAAAGATCAAACTGATAGATACATGAAACAACAAACAGAAGTAAGTTTAGTAAGAGCTTCTTGTCCTTAATTACTTATATATTATACTTTTGTCCACTTTGGACATTCTTGTGAATTAGGACTTGTTATACCAAGAGAAAAAAATCCCATAATTTCAAATTAAAATATCTTTAATGTAACAAATCTGTATGCCACTACATTTTAGCATTTCTGGCAAAAGCTCCTAATAAGCAGAGGATAAAAATAAACAAAGTTAAAACTAAACACTGCAAAGCATGAAAACTAATGATGGCTAATGTAAATGTGGTTCCATTTCCAGTTATTAGTAGTAAGAAACAGAATTTTTTTTTGTTATATTTAAAATTCTTAGAACTTGCATTCAAAACAAATTCAATGGATGAAATAAATAATTCAATTTTCATTAGTATTATTAAGAACTATTTAATATGACTTATAACCTATTTACACTATAAAATACAAATAGCAAATCTTTTGGACAAATTGTCAAAAATTAAGTTTGTCTTTTATCTGCACCTAAAGTTATTCCTCTAAATATGTACATTCAAAAAATATGTGTGAAATGAAACAAGGAGATTCAGAGATGGTAGCCCAATTTTTTGCAATATACAACATTTAGCAAAAAACTGTTAGTGATGTACAAAATTCTCATAAAGAGATAATCAGAGATGACCTCCCTCTAATTTTGCCAAGTGATCTACATCATAGTACTACCCTTCCAGTAATTCACAGTAAAGCCACTTGATGCAACTCTCAAGCATTTAAAGAAAAAAAAAAAGTTTGAAATTTTCTGTGTTCCTTACATACCATGTTATATAGATAATATGTAAAATGCAGCATAGCTAAGTGGATAGCGTTCCTCTATTATACTGTGTATTGCAGGTTGAAATCTTACTTCTTTTTTAAAAGTTTTTCTCTACTTTGCATTGAAACCAATTATTAGTGCAATGTATTTTTTACTTTAACAAATAAAAACCTGTACTTTGTAATTATAAGATTTATTTGCTATGCAATAAAAAATTGCATTAATTTTTCACTTTTTTCACAATTTTTATTTATTGTATTATATTGTATTATATCACCAATGGATGTTGAGTATGTAGAAAGTTCCTTTCTTGCTATACCAATAATTCAACTAACAAATTATGGATGTTATATGATATGAATCCATTCAGCAATTGATTACAATTATAATAAGTTAAAAAGCAAACTATGTGGCTCCTTCAACTTCATGTTACTACATCAAATATAAGCATCTATATACCTGATTTTTAGATTAATTAAAGCCAAAAAATTGCTAGAAATCAGCCCAAAACAAGTTCTGTTTCAGACAGATTCTTTTCTTCCAGAACCTTCTAAATTAATTATTAAAATATTAATTTAATTATAATTATTAAATTTATCAAGAGATGGCAACTAATGGTTACCTCTAAGCCAAATTACTTTACATTTGATTATTAATAACAACACAGATTTAGCACAATATAATGCAGCAATTGTTTGGCTTTTACTATACCAATAGGTCAACATTTAAAGGGAGAATTTCTGTTACTGTGTAGTCTTACTATATATCTATCTGCAAATATAATATTTAAAATGTTGAATTACAATGAATAGAATGTTTAAAGTGCATGGTAAATAATAAAAATAAAAATTTTCTTTGTTAAAATTAGAAAAATATTTTGCAAAATACTGTAATCTGTTTCAAATGCACATTAGAGAAAAATTTTTAAAAGTATGAATTTGAACTTTAACACAAAAGTGAATTATTTGAACACCTTAATTATCCACTTTACTATGCTGCTGTTAACATATACATACATATACATATAACATAGGACATAAGGAACATAGAAAATTTTATTAATTTTTCTCACAAATGCTTCAGAGTTGCATAATGTGGTTGTAGTGTGAATTACAGGGAGGTAGGGCTACAGTATATACAATATATATATCAAACTCAGTAAAATCAAAGGGTGCCAACTCTGGTGGTTTCCTTGTAAGTGAGATGCTAAAAGATACATTTCTTTCAGGAATTAAATCCAAAACATTACCAAATAAAAACTCTTTAAAGAACCTGATGACATATCTTTAGAGAAAATTTTTAAAAATTACTATTGCTTTTGAACTGGTGAAACAATGTTAAAAATATTAAAGAAAAGAAGTTAGTAAGTTATTAATTTTACTGAGAAAAAGATGCTAAATTAAAACCACTAAACAATTCTAGATAAATGTTTTAGATATAATTCTCTGTCTCAGTTAATTAACCCTTGCCTTCAAAGTAACAGAATGTTATATTGGTAGGAAAAAATTGGCATTTATCCACGATGTGTAGATATAATGGCAAAGTAGTTATGCAAAATAAGGAAAATTCACTTAAATAGGTAATTGGAATGTAACAGCAAATTTTTTATAATAAATAAATATATTTGGAAAACCTATATGATGAATGATATTAATATAAATGTTACAATTGATATAGTGCAGCAGTAAGTTTGATTTCTGAGAATATACTTAAAAAGTTTCAAGCCCTTAAATGAAACCACAGTAAAACTTACAACATATGGAAATTGTTCCAATACTGGTGGTAGGAAAAACAAATTTTTGTTAAGCAGGCAAATAAATATTCAAAAGTTTTTATCTTACAAGTTAGATATAACTAACAATCAATCAATCATTAAATGGGAAGAGACAAGATGACAAGTGAGAGAACTATTGGTAAGGTAAGAGATTATATTTTTTTCATAAATGTTATTAAAGAACATGGAAATCCATCCCCAGATAATCTTTTACAAAAATTTTCTTTATTATTTGGAAACAAAATAGGACATTTAAAAGACTAAAGTCAGTTTAAACGTTGATTCATAAAGCAAATCTATTTTTTGTGAAGTGAGACCATTACCATTTGCATTGAAAACTAAGGTAGAAAAGGAAATTGATCATTTGGTAACTAAGATATCCTGCAGATCTCTAAATGGGCTGCACCAACAATACCTATAGCAAAAGAGAATCAGCACATCATTAAAATTCTTACATTATCTGATCACTTTAAAATTAATGACTTTAGTTGATTTTTATCCATTTCCTAGAATAGAAGCAATCTTTACTAACCTCATAGAAGAAGAAAATTTGTAATTATGTTTGGATGAGCTTTTTAAGGATATCATTATCATAAATACTAGTAAAGAACATTTCAGTTTCCAAGGTTACCTTATGAAATTAGTGGTATCAAGTGCATTTCAAGAAGTCTTAGAAAAATCTATTGGAAGAGTTTTAGGAATAATATTTATTTAGATGATATACTCATTAATGGAAAGAATGACAAAGAACACCCACAAACTTTGAGAACAGTTTTGAAAAAGGATTCTGGGATAAAACTTAATTTTTTTAAAATGTGGATTGCTTTTCTCCAGCATTTAAATATTTTTGATTTAAGATTGATAAAAAAATTCACTAAACGAATAGTAGAAGCCATACAGAAAGTTCCAGCACTCATAAATGTATCTAGTCTTAGAGCCTTCTTAGGCTTAATGTATCATTATGAAAAATTTATATCAAATCTTTGTACACTTTTATATTTGTTAAAAAAAAAAAAAAAAAAAGAATATAGCAAAACAAGTATATTGAAATACTTTCATTAATAGTTCAAACACCTACACACTGGACTAAATAATTTTGTCTCTGGTTAACTGGAGGTTTTTTTGAGATATGTAATACTTTCATCAAGCTTAAACAGCTATTACCTGGTACAGAAGTACAACAACATTATGTTCCTACAACATGCTTAATACCTATAGTATTAAGCATGCCTCATCTTTATGTGAGTCAGCAGTTCTTTCTTACAGATACCCATAGGGTTGAAAAACCTATTGCTTTTGATCCATAAAGTATAAAACAAAGAGAAATTATGCTCACATAAAAAGGAAAGAATTAACTTTAATTTCTGGAATAAATAAGTTCAAACAATATCTATTGGGTTATCAGTTTATATTAATCACAGATCATCAGCCTTTAACATATTTATTTGCACTTAACAAACCTGTTCCATAGCTAGCTTCATCCTGTATTAAGCATTGGGCTTTGCTATTGTTGTCATTTGACTATCCAGCTACAGTTCAAAAAATCAGAAAGAAACTCTAATGCTGATGTATCATCACATTTACCATTGTCTGCAAAGGAATGTCCAAAAGATGAAAGTCATGTCCTGATGGTTCAGAAATTTGGTGCAATCACACTTTCAGCTAAAAAGAAACAAAAGAAAGAAAAACAGATCAAGAAATCCTCTATTATGTAAAGTCCTGACATATGTATCCAGTGGCTAGAATTGTAAGCTTCTATCTCAAAATATGTTCTTTTATAGAAGAGAAAATGTTTAAAATTTAGATGTTTACTATAAAACAATAGCATTGTTATTTCTGAACACTGAAAAAAGTACAAAATTTGGTGTTACAAGATTTAAATTCTGTGCAGTTCAGCATTATAAGGATGAAAAGCTGGCAACAGTATTGCTGGACTTTCCCAGCATTCTTCATTTGTTTTAATCCTTAATAATTGCTATCATTACTTTTAATTCTTTAGATTTACATAAAATTTCTAATACAAATGATTTGTCATAAAATGAGGGTTATTTTAACACTATTTTTAAAATATTACCTACTCACCTCTTCAACATATAATCTTTTGGTCTAATTTTGATGAAAATTGTGATTTAAAAAAAAAATATTTATCTCAAAGAATTTCATAAATAGTTTTTTTATATTCTTACACCAAACCTAGCATTGGGGTTGGGAAAATATCAATTTCCTAAAACTAATTTATTAATATAAACATATTCAAAAAAAATAATCCAACTGGTTTATTCTGTCAAAATTTATTTAAAAAACATCCAAAAACATTAATTTTGGTGATTTTTAAAAAATTTCCAAAATATATTATTTTTGATAAACTGAAAATTTGTACAAATAAAAACAATTTCATAAGTTGAAAGCTTTTTGAGATATAGCCTCCACCCTCCCTTAATATCTTCCAAACCAATGGTCTGATTTTTTTGAAAGTTTCTAGAAACATTTCCTACTAATAAATAACTATAAAAATTTCAGAGATTTTCAGAAAAAGACATAGGAGTTATTAAGCTTCAAAGTAGGTGAAAAAAAAATGTCTCCACACAGTAAAACCTCCAAAGATTTTTGCATTTCTCAACATTTCAAGATCTCAAGTCCAAAAAATGCAAAAATCTTGGGGGCATTTTTTGACCAATTGTGATACTTTTCCTTTGTTATATAACAGCCAAGTGTGTAAAGAATGATGGCATGACAGTATCATAGTGACCAAAATTAGATGAACCAAGAATTGATAGTCAAGTCAATGTGAAGAATGTCAGAAAACAGCAGCTTTGTCAAAAGTGATGACAAAATGGTCTTGAACTAGTTCACTATGGGAAAAATTTATATGGATATTTCTGGAATATTTCAAAATAAATATTTAGTTTTAATTTATGCATACAGTAGGTGACCTGATGTAATGATTTTAAACAATATAACTTCTAAACAGTTAATCATTCAAGATACACTTTTGCAATTTTGGGCCTCTCAGAACAAATTATTACAGATAAAGTTACATAATTTGTATCTAATAAATTTGATTAATTTTTGTAGAAAATAATACTGCACATATTTATGCAATGCCTTATCACCCAGCAACAGCCTTGCTGATTATAAATTTCTTAAAAACTTGCACATAAAGAAAATAAGTAACAATGAAATAGATTTAGAGACTGAACTCCAGAGATTTCTTTATTATAGAACAATGCCACAAACTTCCACAAAATATTTACCAGCAGAATTACTTATGAAAAGAAAGCTGAGGACAGGACTTGCTTTATTTCCATCTAGTAACACAAGATAAGAATACCCTCATTGTGCAAGATGACAAAAATTTTGTATTAAATGTTCCAGTACCTGTTTACATGAAGAATTATTTCAGATAACCAACATAATAATAATTTTAGTTATTTCATTAGATATACCAAGTAAAACAACATAACCAAATTAAGCCTAGAATTGTAACTCCAAATTTTACTAGTGCTAATAATGGAGTTCCAAATATAATAGTTTGACAAAGAAAACTATTTTTAGACCTGCATATACGTAAATCTTCAGAAGGACCACAATTCTCGGTCCATCACAAATCTAGCATAGCTCCGCACATTATACCAGCAGAGGCCTTTCAGCCTTCTCAATATGTTAATGCTGCCATTGCCTCCCTTGTCAGAAGGGCTTATTTACTGTCATCCATGCAGGAGCTGATAAACGTTGAGTTAGACATCATCAATCTGGCGGTACGCGCTGCTGGCTTTTCACGTGCAAAATTTACGCATGTGCTCAATAAGGTAAAGAAAGCACTATTTCCAAGCACTACATTATGCAGCACGAGAGAGTCTTCGAAGGTACAAATAGCGTTGCCTTACCTTCGACCCCTATCTTTACGCATCTGCAGAATCTTTAAGCAGTGCAATCTTGTACTACCTTTAACCCCACTTTCAAGCCTACGCAAACTTATTTGTAACAATAGAGACAAATTTTCCACTCTTGAGAAGTTGGGGGTCTATGCTGTACCTTTGGAAAATCAGGCAACAGGAGTAAACACAAGATATATCGGGGCCATCACTAGAATGCTTGCCAGCCGCCTTGATGAGCACCAAGACGATGTTATGAGGGGAAGACACACCACCAAGCTCGCAAGAAAGGTACTTGAGCAGGGTTACAACCCGCTATGGTCCCAAGAGGTTATGCTCAAGAGCTGCAAGGATGGAAAAATTGTTTTTATATGGGAATCTCTTCTCACTACCACCTTGGATACTTGCAACACCCCTACGCTCGATCTGCCCAGTGTATGGGTCACACCATATAAGTGTTTAAGCGAGTATTAGCAGTCTCTAGTATGCGTGTAGCGTGAGCATGGTTCTGCGCATGTACCAGCTCGCACTTCATGGAGCTAACTGCTCGTTCAGTTTTCAAATTATGTTTAAATATTTACTTCGTGTTCTTAACAGCTTTAACAAAGTTTCAACTTATTTTATACGTTTTATTCTGCATTGGATTATTTCTGTTTAAAATTTTTCAGTAAATATCTGTATTCGCCTGAGGACAACGACTATAAGTTCATTGAAAGTGCTTGCGATAAAAAAACGTATGCATGTAACGCTGAACTCAGTGTCTTTATTTTTGTTATTATTGACAAAGAAAACTTGTTATATTGATTATCCTCAAGACAGAACAAGTAATAGTGAAACACTGTTACAGGAAGGAAATAGAAATGAAGGCAGAGCTATTGTCACTTTGCAAGCGAATGAACACAGAGACATCATGAAATAGTAACAGCAGAAATCAGGATGAAAAGAAAACAGAACATGACCAGATAATAGCATAAAACTTAGAATATTGTTATTTGAAGCAAATACATAGAAAACCATTTAAATATTGAGATTTTCATCTTTCTTAATTAGAGGAAAAGTTGTGGTGTCTTTGGATACAAAAGTAATTGTAATGCAGGTCTGTATCCCAATTAATCACTTGTTTCTTTTAATATAAATAATTAACATATTGTATGTACAGATAATGTAAAAGATTTGGGCATTCAGTTCAATTTAAGCTCACTTTTAACAAATACAGGAGGGTGCAAAAGTAGATATACAGTTGTTATTATGGAAAAAAACATGTCACAAGTTATAAGAAATAATAAAAGATAAAATTGGCATTTATCCATGATGTATAGATATAATGGCAAAGTAGTTATGCAAAATAAGGAAAATTCACTTAAATAGGTAATTGGAATGTAACAGTAAATTTTTTATAATAAATAAATATATTTGGAAAACCTATATGATAAATGATATTAATATAAATGTTACAATTGATGTAGTGCAGCAGTAAGTTTGATTTCTGAGAATACTAGTAGCTTGGGATGCCCCCTAGTGGGCGTTCTTTACAAATTTCCATGAGGCACAGTTCCTTTGACTTTTTTGTTCCTATCAATGTGCTCTACAGCTCTGTTAAAATCCGAATGGTAAGATTTACCCTCCGAATAAAAAGGTGGCAACCCCCCAAACCATAGACCCCTGTACTAACAATGAAGTCAAAGGAACCATACCCCTACTTGCAACCCTTCGAAAGATATAAGCCCCTGAAATAATAAATTCCTATTACAAATATACTGAATTATTTATATTGTTATATTGACCAAATAATAATTTATTGGCCAAATGAATAATAATAATTTATATTGTTAATTTAAATAAGAATTAAAATTGTTAATTTGAATGTTTGAAATATGACACACAATAGGGGCGCCTCTAGTGTCCATTATCAAACAGTTATGGGACAGATGGGCACCCGTTGAATGGGTTATATATACAGATACTTAAAAAGTTTCAGATTACAAGTTTCAAAGATAATAATTATAATAAAGAACATCAAACATCTGTATTTCTCAAATTCACTACAATATACCTTATTTTTGCACCCACTGTATGTCAAAGATGTGTCAAAAAATTAGCCATTTTAGTGTTACTGCTAAAAAAGTCTCTTCTAAATCCATTCTAAGGTTCTATTTTTTTTTTTTTTTTATTATTTTGCAAACATACAATCAAGGGTAGATTATATGGCATTACTATATAAACATGACTGCATCCTATCTATTAACCAAAACCAACCATGTGAGCAAAACATAGTCATATACACAAGTTATGTAATTTGCCACTTACTACTAACAACAAAATACTAAGGAAGAGATTGAATTTACCCAATTTTATGTATGTACAGGTACAAATTTCCAGCAACTCCTTTAACTGGACGGAATTATGAGAGGAAATTTGAAATTCCTGCAACCACCAGATTAGTTTACTGGATAGCCACAGGATGGCTGTGTGTGTAGGGTGTCATTTATTTAAATTATTTACACTGCACTTGATGATGATTCTGCAATTTTATATTTTTAGTTTATTTTGCTTAAATTTAACCCTAACTGTTGCTTCTTAGAAAGATGAGTGTTTCAGTGATGGTATCAAACATTTTTTACATTTAATATTAAAGTTAAGTTTCTAGCAATCAAATGGTATAATTTATATACATGGGAAATGTATAATTAGTGAGTTAGTTTGTTGTGTGTTGCTGAATTATTACTATATGTAATCACAGTTGGTCTAGCAAAATGATTAATCCAATAAGGCTTTGGAATCAAGGGT